CACTTGGTGTTATTTCAATTCTTTGAAGAATTTTAGGCTTTTGTATGACCCAGTATGTAGTCATTCTTGTTATATATTTCATGAGCAAAAATCAAAGCTATCCTTCAATGTGGTCTGTCTTAATGAATGTTCCAGGTATGTTTGAAAGAAATGTGTGCTTTGCTGTTCTTGCTTTTAGTGTTCAATGAATGTTGAACTTAAATAACAGAGAGAGAGGCTCTTTAAAAGAAATAATATTTATTTGAGAATGGGCATTGCAATGGCAATATACATACCATAGTAAATGATGGCAAAGAAAGACAAAGGTTTTTAAAGGAAAGCTGAGAAAAATGGGGATTACTTGATTATTTGAGATAATTATCCTTGGCTGCAAGAATCAATAAAAAGGGTAATGCCAGTCTGAGGTGAGACAAATAGTTGCTGGGCAGATGTTCTCACAGAAGTGTTCTGTGTGTGTGTGTGTGTGTGTGAGGTTTCAGTGGCCTTTGTGGAGGGTTGTAGTTTTTTCAGTCTTTCTTTCGTGATAATTCTTGTATGAGGCATTCATGTGTGGGAACCTTCCCTTTCTGGCCTTCCCTGGCTTCATTTTCCAGGGTTGTTAATACAAGTGACACCATTTTGATCCCGATGACTTTGCCATTTCCTTCTTTTGATAAAGATTGCTCTCCAAAAGCATCACTGGTCAGTCATCCTGTTAGGTTTTGATTGCCCCTTGGTGCTGGGATGGACCTGTCCTGGGTTGTTGGTCTGATTACACATTGGAGGGAGTGTCTAGTGACAAGAAGTCCATATCAAAATTCTTTTAGTCAAATTTGAACAACAAGTGAGGTTTGGAGTGAGTGATTTTTAGGCTAAGTCTATTTGGTGTCCACTGTCAAATTCAATTTTTCTTGTTCCGTAGGCACTAGCTATCACCAATATTTAACATTGTTAAAATGTTCTTATTACACAAAGCAATCTACAGATTCAGTGCAATCCCTATCAAAATACCAATGACTTTCTTCACAGAAATAAAAAAACAATCGTAGATTTTGTATGAAATCACAAAAGACCCTGAATAACCAAAGCAACCTGACAAAGCTGGAAACATCACACTACCTGACTTCAAAATATACTACAAAGCTATAGTAACCAAAACACCATGGTACTGGCAAAAAACAGACAGATAAATAAACACCGAGAATAAGAATCGAGAACCCAGAAATAAATCCACATGTTTACAACTAAATCATTTTTGACAAAAGTACCAAGAATATTCATTGGGAAAATTTCTTCAATAAATGGTGCTGGGAAAACTGTATATATATATATGTATATGCAGAAGAATAAAATTGAACCTCTTACCATCTCTTACCATAAACAAAAATCAACTCTAAATGGATTAAAGACTTAAATGTAAGATCTGAAACTATGAATCTACCAGAAAAAATTGGGAAAACTCTTCAAGACATTGGTCTGGGCAGAGATTTTTTGAGTTAGACCTCAAAAGCATAGGCAATCAGAGCAAAAAATAGACAAATGAGATTACGTCAAGCTAAATAGTTTCTGTACAACAAAGGAAACAATAAACAGAGTAAAGAGGTTGGTTCAACATCTGAAATTATGTAATGCAATTACTCTAATGCACAATACCAACAGAATAAAAAAAGATCATCTCAATACATGCAGAAAAGGTATTTTACAAAGTCCATCATTCTTTCAGGATAAAAACACTCAACACACTAAGAACATATTTTAAAACAAATACATGAGTTGATAGCAGAATTATTCATGATAGACAAAAAGTGGAAAAACTACAATTGTCCATCAGCTGAGAAATAAAGAAAAGGTGGTATTTCTATACACTGGAATATTATTTGGCCTTAAAAAGGAATGAAGTAATGATATATGCTACAAAATGGATGAACCTTAAAAACATTATGCTAACTGAAAGAAATCAGATTCAAAAGGCCACATATTATAAGATTCCATTTATGTAAAATGTCCAGAATAAGCAAATGTTATAGTTTACAAAAAGTAGATTAGTGGTTTCCAGGATGAAGGAGGAGGGAATGGAGAGTGACTTCTTAGTGGATATGCAATATATTTTGGGGTAATAAAAATTTTTGAAATTGATAGTAGAGATGGTTGCAAAGCATGGTGAGTATCCTAAAGTCCAGTCAGTTGTTTACTTTAAAATGGTTAAAATGATAAATTTTGTTATGTGAATTTTATCTCAATTAAAAATGTATGCCTTATGTGAATTCTAGAGTATACTAAAAATAACACAAAGTAGTAAAGACAAATTCTTCATAGTGTGAAGTAAAATGGAATTCTAAAAAATAATCTAAAAGAAGGCAAGAAAGGGGTAAAAGAGAAGGAAAAAAACAGATTTTATAGAGTGACATCACCAAGATAACAGAACAGATGGTAACCCGCTCACGTCCCTCCAACAAGAATTCTGAACCCATCCACAGTCAAAAGTCCCCGTGAGAGCCTCAGGATTTAAGAGTCTGTGAAACTCTGGCAGAGCCCAAGTCCTAGGAAGTTCATTTTGAGGGTGGAAATGGTTAATCTGCTTAGTCTGTGCCCTGGTTCAAGCCCAGAAATGGCACAGCTCATCAAGAGGCTTTGCTATACATCTTCTCACAGAGAAGCAATACTCTTCTTAGTGCCAAATCTTGATTGCACCTTCTGCATCCACATCACATTCCAGTTTATATCTTCTTTGACACTCATTAATATTATTTTTGTAATTTCCTTTTTTTTGTTTACCTCACTTTCTCACAGATTATTTTAGTGAGTGGGAGCCAGCAATCTAAGCTAAGCACCATGTTAGGAAGAACTTGAACCCAAAGACTCAGAGAAGTCGAATAGCTCACCCGAAGCTAACAGGGCCTGAAAACCTTTGGTCCAGGTTTGGAATCAAAGCAGGAATGTAAATTAGTTCAACCATTATTTGTGGAAGACAGTGTGGTGATTCCTCAAAGTCCTATAACCAGAAATACCATTTGATCCAGCAATATCATTACTGGGAGTACACCCAAAGGAATATAAATCATTCACTTACAAAGATATATGCATGTATGTTCATTGTGGCACTATTTACAATAGCGAAGATATGGAATCAATCCAAATGCCCATTAATAATAGACTGGACAAAGAAAATGTGATTCATGTAAACCATGGAATACTGTGAAGCCAGAAAAAGGAACGAGATTATGTCCTTTGTAATGACATGGTTGGAGCTGGAAGCCATTATCCTCAGCAAACTTACACAGGAACAGAAAGCCAAACACTGCATGTTCTCACTTAGAAGTGGGAGCTGAGGCCAGGTGCAGTGATTCATACCTGTAATCCTAACATTTTGGGAGGCCAAGGCAGGTGGATCACCTGAGGTCAGAAGTTTGAGACTAGCCTGGCCAAAATGGCGAAACCCCACCTGTACTAAAAATGCAAAAATTAGCTGGGCATGGTGGCAGACACCTATAATCCCAGTTACTCAGGAGGCTGAGGCAAGGGAATTGCTTGAACCTGAGAGACAGAGGTTGCAGTGAGCCAAGATCATGCCACTTCACTCTAGCCTGGGCAAAAGAGCAAAACTCTATCTATCTCAAAAAAAAAAAAAAAAAAAAAGGGGGAGCTGATCAATGAGAACAGATGGACACAAGGAGGAGAACAACACACACTGGGGCTGTCATGGGGCTGAGGGGAGGGAGAGCCTCAGGATAATTACACTAATGCATGCAGAGCTTAATACCTAGGTGATGGGTTGATAGGTACAGCAAAACACCATGGCACACATTTACCTGTGTAACAAGACTGCATGTCCTGCACATGTATCCCAGAACTTAAAAAAAACCCAACAACCTTCCTGTATACCACCTGCCATTCTGATTTTCTTCTACCAGAGTATCCAGCTTTCCCAGGAGATAACCCAGAGCAAACACCACACCTTAGTGTGTAGAAATACACACATATACCTGTGGACAAGCTTATCCAATGCAAACCACTAATACACTCTGAACTCCATCCTCACGACCTCCTTGGTGAGTTCTGAGCCTAGGAAGCCAATTTGTGAATCTAGAGCAATTAATTCACATTTGTCTATGAAAAGCAACAAGGGAAATGATACTCCAGAGGCCCAGAACCTAGAAATAGTCCTGTGACAATGTGCACAAAGAACATCTAAGATCCATCAGTGAAATCCGGTGGTTGCCTTATAGCTGGCCCAGTGCAGCCTGCAGCCCCAGATCTTCTCACCCTTCTCATTTGTTACAGGCTAAGGAGAACCCTGAGCAAAAGAACTGCAGAAACAGAGTGGTTTCCTATGGTAGTGAAAGCTGTTTAGGTTAGAGAAAATACGGTGACTACTATAAGAAAGGGGCAGGGTTATGCTTTCCCTTTAAGATCCCAGTCAGCTTTCATTCTATCCTGAGATGAGCAGTGGAAAATGTGCCCTTACAGAGTGAGTTACTTACGTCTGCCTCTGCCGAGGAAGAGGTTTATGTAAGTGGCTGTGTTTCAAGGTGCTTAAGAGTATGGGGACTTGGCTTCAGGGTCTCAGTGAGTATTTAATGCCTTCTTGGTAATATTGCACAAGTAACTTATTTTACTAAGCTTTGAAAGTTATTTGTGAAATGTGTGTAATAAGATTTACAAGTAATCAAGTTGATGCTTCATTGTACAGTGTTTATGTTACAAAATGGCAATTCTTATTTCCTTTGTGTTATGTGAACTGAGAACCTGCAAGCCAGGGAATGTGGATGTTAATGAATAGATAGCAAGGATGGAAGTGACCTGAAACTCACCTGTCCAGCAGTACTCATCATCTTGCTTTTGTGTTTGAATCCCTCTGTCTCCTCACTCTCCCTTCCTAGGAGGATTGAGTTGAAGGGAACAATGGTCAGAACTTGGAAGGAAGGTCCGGGGTGAGAAGTTTCTCTGTTAGAGAAGGCTATAAGTACCACAATTTTTACAGTTTTTTACATGTTTCTCTTCTCTTCTTTCAGAAAGAATGGTGGAATGGAGAAAAGTAACCAGTCCAGTGTCTCTGAATTCCTCCTCTTGGGTCTTTCTGAGAAGCCAGAGGAGCAACCTCTCCTATTTGGCATCTTCCTGGGGATGTACCTGGTCACTGTGTTAGGGAACCTTATCATCATCTTGGCCATCAGCTTTGACTCACACCTCCACACCCCCATGTACTTTTTCCTGGCCAATCTCTCTTTTGCTGATGCTTGCTATTCTTCCACCACAGTCCCTAAGATGTTGGTGAACATCCAGACACAGAGTCAGACCATACCATTTGGAGGCTGTTTAGCTCAGATGCATTTTTTCATGATGTTTGGGGCACTGGATGACTTCCTCTTGGGGGTGTTGGCCTATGACCGCTATGTGGCCATCTGCAAGCCTCTTCACTACCCCACACTCATGAGTCCTTTTATGTGCATGCTCCTTCTCACAGTATGCTGGATTCTCACCAACCTTGCTGCCCTCTTACACACCCTGCTCATGGCAAAGCTTTCTTTCTGTGTAGGCAACACCATTCATCACTTCTTCTGTGACGTGGTCCCTTTGCTACAGCTCTCCTGCTCAGACACAAGCACCAACCAGGCAGCCCTGTTCACTGTGGGCTCCATCATACTCACTGGTCCTCTCTCCCTGATCATTTTGTCATATATAAACATCATCTCCAGCATCCTCAGGGTCCCATCTGCCTCTGGCAGGCAAAAGGCCTTCTCCACCTGTGGATCCCATCTCACTGTTGTCTTCTTGTTCTATGGTGCAGCAATTGGTGTCTATCTGTGGCCCCCTTCCTCACAATCAGAGGGTAAAGACAGGGTTGCAGCTATATTTTACACAGTGGTGACCCTCATGCTGAACCCCTTCATTTACAGCTTCAGAAACAAGGATATGAAGACAGCACTGAGAAAGCTTTTGGCTTGAATGCACTTTTCTCCCAGAGACTCTAACCTTATGTCCATATTTGGAAATTATTCCACAGAAGGCCCACATGCTCAGGAAAAAATATCCCTCTCTCCCACCCCCATGCTTAGCTATTAGGGAATAATTCCTCCCAAAACAGCCCCTTATGCTCAAATTGGAATCTGCATCTGCTTAATGTAACTCTGTAATAACTTCATGGAGGACTTGTATTGCATATAATTTTTGCACTTATTTCTCTGCTGTCTTTAGGGAGATCTCAACCTTTCTAGGGCAAGATCAGTAAAAAATTATTTGTAGATGTTCTGATAAACATGTGAATGATTTTAAAAGATACCATTTAGTGAGCATTTATTTATCGTTACCCTTTGCCAGTCACTGTGTCAGGCGTGGGAGATACTGAGATAAGGAAGCCTCTGTTCTTTAGGAGCTCTCTTTCTATTGCAGCGTGTAGTTGTGCACATACACAAGTAACCATAAAATAGATGTGGTAGTGATGGTTTTACCATATAAATGAATATTCATTTCATTCCATGTATTTAGCTGGTTATGTGTATTATCTAATTTGGTCCCCCCTCCCTGGCAACGCTTTTGAGTTGGGAACTATGGTTATCACATTTTTGAGATGAAAACACTCTGACTAGTAAATCCTTGCTACTCTATCCTTCTTTTCAATGCTGGTGTTTGTACCAAAAGATAAATTCATATTCAACAAATACTGTATTTGTATGTATATAACCATCATGTACCAGGTATTGTGTAATGCGCTATTGCTAATAGTAAAAATAGTAAAATATTGTTCCTGTCTTAATATAATGGAGACAGACACATAATCAGTTTGAGGTTCTCAAGTCAGACTGTGATAGTTGCCATAATGAGGGCTAGAGCACAAAGGGAAGAAAATGGTTAGTTACAGTTTTTAACCCATGAAGTGATATTTTATTGGATCTGAAAGTGTGAATTTTTGAAAGGATAAAGAAAGAGGAAGAACAAGGATCATATAGGGATAGGCTGTTTGCAATAGAGGCCATGCTGGTCCATGGAGCCAGCCCAGGCCAACATTGGAAATGATCTCTCAGTAGTTCCCATACTGAAAATGCGTCTTGCCCAATTTTTCCAGTCTCCATGAAGTCTCTTGTTTAAATCTTTTTTCCTATATTTCTTCTTCTAGGTGTCAGTGTGTCTTAGTTATGGCTGCAGATTATCATGACCTGGGTCTTTTGAAGAATACTGATAACTCAAATTTTACTCTACACCTCTTTGAACACGAAGCCCTAGTATCTTTATTTCTAAAAATAAATAAATAAATATAGGACATTCTAGTGTGCAGTTAGGGTTTAGAAACACTATTTTTTAAAAATTGTATTTTAAGTTTGGGGGTACATGTGCAGATCTTGCAGGATTGTTGCATAGGTACACACATGTTGTAGTGGTTTGCTTTCTCCTTCCCCCCGTCATCTACATCAGGCATTTCTCCCAGTGATACCCTTCCCCAACCTCTCCACCACCGCTGTCCCTCCCCTCGTCCTCCACCCCTCAACAGACCCCAGTGCATGATGTTCCCCTCCCTGCGCCCATGTGTTCTCATTGTTCAACACCTGCCTATGAGTGATAACATACGGTGTTTGGTTTTCTGTTCTTGTCAGTTTGCTGAGAATGATGGTTTCCAGATTGATCCATGTCCCTGCAAAGGACATGAACTCATCCCATCCCTTTTTAATGGCTGTATAGTATTCCATGGTGTATATGTGCCACATTTTCTTTATCCAGTCTTTCACTGATGGGCATTTGGGTTGGTTCCAGGTCTTTGCTATTGTAAACAGTGCCGCAATGAACATACATGTGCATGTGTCTTTATAATAGAATGATTTATAATCCTTTGGGTATATACCCAGTAATGGGATTGCTGGGTCAAATGGAATTTCGAATTCTAGATCTTGAAGAATCGCCACACTGTCTTCCACAATGGTTGAACTAATTTACACTCCCACCAACAGTGTAAAAGTGTTCGTATTTCTCCACATTCTCTCCAGGATCTGTTTTCTCCAGATTTTTTAAAGATTGCCATTCTAACTGGTGTGAGATGGTATCTCGATGTGGTTATGATTTGCATTTCTCTAATGACCAGTGATGATGAGCTTTTTTTCATATGTTTGTTGGCCTTATAAATGTCTTCTTTTGAAAAGTGTCTGTTCATATCCTTTGCCCACTCTTGTGTGGGTTTATTTGTTTTCTTCTTGTAAATCTGCTTTAGTTCTTTGTAGATTCTGGATATTAGCCCTTTGTCAGATGGGTAGCTTTCCAATTCTGTTGGCTGCTGGTTCACTCTATTGATTGTTTCTTTTGCTGTGCAGAAACTCTGAAGTTTAATTAGATCCCATTTATCTATTTTGGCTTTTGCTGCCAGTGCTTTTTAGTGTTTTAGTCATGAAGTCCTTGCCTATGCCTATATCCTGAATGGTATTGCCTAAGTTTTCTTCTAGGGTTTTTATGGTGTTAGGTCTTATGTTTAAGTCTTTAATCCTTCTGGAGTTAATTTTAGTGTAAGGTGTCAGGAAGGGGTCCAGTTTCTGCTTTCTGCATATGGCTAGCCAGTTTTCCCAACACCACTTATTAAATAGGGAATCCTTTCCCCATTGCTTGTTTTTCTCAGGTTTGTCAAAGATTAGATGGTTGTAGATGTACGGCATTGCTTCTGAGGCCTCTGTTCTGTTCCATTGATCTATATCTCTGTTTTGGTACCAGTACTATGCTGTTTTGATTACTGTAGCCTTGTAGTATAGTTTGAAGTCAGGTAGCGTGATGCCTCTAGCTTTGTTCTTTTTGTTTAGAGTTGTCTTGGCTATGTGGGCTCTCTTTTGGTTCCATATAAAATTTAAAGTGGTTTTTTCCAGTTCTGTGAAGAAGGTCATTGATAGCTTGATGGGGATAGCATTGAATCTATAAATTATTTTGGGCAATATGGCCATTTTCATGATACTGATCCTTCCTAATCATGAGCATGGAATGTTTTTCCATCTGTTTGTGTCCTCCCTTATTTCATTGAGCAGTGATTTGTAGTTCTCCTCGAAGAGGTCCTTTACATCCTTTGTTAGTTGTGTTCCTAGGTATTTTATTCTCTTTGCAGCAATTGTCAATGGGGGTCCGCTCATGATTTGGCTCTCTGTTTGTCTGTTATTGGTGTATAAGAATGCTTGTGATTTCTGCACATTGATTTTGTGTCCTGAGACTTTGCTGAAGTTGCTAATCAGCTTAAGGAGATTTTGGGCTGAGACGATGGGGTCTTCTAAATATGCAATCATGTCATCTGCAAATAGAGACAATTTGACTTCCTGTTTTCCTAATTGAATACCCTTTATTTTTTTCTTGCCTGATTGCTCTGGCTAGAACTTCCAATACTATATTGAATAGGAGTGGTGATAGAGGACATCCTTGTCTAGTGCCAGTTTTCAAAGGGAATGCTTCCAGTTTTTGCCCATTCAGTATGATATTGGCTGTGAGTTTAGAAACACTATTTTAGTGTTTTCTTACTACCAGCAATGGATGTATAAGGCAATAAAACAAATAATTACAGAGTTTTTTTATTTAGGCCATGACACTGTAGTCTTTTAGGTATAAAGCAAGTAGACAGCACCAAGAAGTGTCTGAATACTTAACCTCCGAAGTTTAACTCTCCTACACCCAACTCTAAGTCTTACCATCTGCTGTAATCATTCATCTCTTCAGCAGTCTTACTTGAAGTCCTTCTCCAGACTTTCTGTTTTTCTCTTCTTGATTAATGTCTATTTCAGTTTTATATGTTTCTTTTTCCATTGAAATATTTGTATTATATAAATAATCACTAGAGGCATCTTCTTCAGCCTCTAGTGATTCTGAAAAAATAAAATATAAGGCATCTTGTTGCCAGAGCAGCTGAGACTGATTCTTGAATATTTCTGTTTCACTGTGATCATGTCATCCTTTTGGACTAACCCTGAATGTGTACCTGACTTACCCACTCTTGCAATCGAAAATAATGCAAGATTTCTGCTGTTGCTTTCTTCTGGTTTCATTCATTTTTCTACAAATTTGGTGGCCTCCTGCATATAATCTCCTGAATTCACCAACTTAATTCATTTCATTTCTGTAGATCACCTTGATATTTTTTTACCCATTTCAAAAAATTCCCCACACCAAATTGGAACCACATTTGCACCATCATAGCATTGCTGTGTTGGCAAAACTTAATGAAACTCTCTGAGCCAGAGATTCTTTCTTTGGGCGATTGTAAGAATTAAATGAGATAATACTTATGAGGAATTTAGGAGGAGGTTCAGTGCATTGTAAGTATTTGGTAAAGGTTCTTCCCTCTCAGCCCTAGAAACACCATGGTACATTAGCCATTTCAATAGATCCCTATAAGGGATCTGGCCTTGATGATACATTTTGGTATTTGATACTTTCTTTTGCATTGCTTCTGATGGTTAAGTGTTACTACCTGGGTCTCTGATATTCCAGAAGGATTTTATTCCCATTGGCACTAGGGAGCTGTTGACTCAATATCCATGTTGGGATTTTCTATCCACTCTGTCCCAGAAAGGAGAGCCCCAGTCAACTTTTCAGTGATTCGGTTGTCCTTCTCACCTGTGGATTATTTATTGCTTTGGTGAAGAGAATGTCTTTTGGCCCTTCTTGGGGAACATAGTTAGCTGGTGGGTTCTCTGGCCTCATATAATAGATTCATTCTAGCATGGCTGCAGCCCTGGGATTTCTAACCTCTTCCTGAATACCTTTCCAAGAAGTTCTAGCATTTGCATTTCATTTACTCTATAGTAATGCATTTCATTTCCATCATTTCCAAGCCTCAATCAGTGATCCCAAAAAAGTATGAGAGCTTGTTTTGGGTGTTCCTGTCTCCTGTTACATGAGAGTGCTCCCATATCAAACAGTTTTACCCTACTCAGCCTTATGTTCCACAACTTCCTTGTTCAGCACCCTAAGGATTCACTTTCATTTTTATTCCTCCAGTTATTATTGGCATGTATTAGCTATATTCTTCTCTGCTTTTAATGAATAAGGTAAACATTCCCATAGCAGAGACTTATTTCTTGTTGGGACTATGCTAAAATAGGTTCCAAGTTACTATCCAAACAACATGAGGGAGAAAGGCATTTTGAAGAAGACAAATATTTCTTGTTTGTCTTCCATCTCAGATCAGGGCTTTTTCAGTTATCAATTGCTGCATACCAAATGACTCCCAAACTTAGTGTTTAGAAAAGCAACAATGATTTACTTAGTTTTGGTTTCTGCTGGATAGCAGTTTGAACTCAGCTCAGCTGGGAAGTTCTTTTAGCAGAAAAGAAGACTAGTTGATGACATGTCTGCAGTTAGCAATTCATCAACTGGGTGGCTGTACTTCTAGAGATCAACTACTTGTTGACTGAAGCAATGGAAGGAAGGGAGGGACACATGTCTTTCATCGTACAACAGGCTGGACTGGGCTTATTCACATGTTGGCAGAGTTCTAAAAGCAGCAAGAAAACATGCACTTTTCATACCCTTGCTTGTGTCAAAATTGCTATTGCCTTATTGGCCAAAGACAGGCTTAAAGCCAATCCATATTCAACGGGTACAGATTTCACTTCTTG